TTAAAGTGCGAATGATTGAATTGAACAATCCCTTTAAGATCATGAGCCTTATGTGCTACCTTTACACTTATTCGCAGTAATTTTAAAATATATATTTTAAATGGGGAGAGTAAGATTTGAACTTACATCTTTCCTGTTATGAGCAGTCGGCTCTACCATTAAGCTATCTCCCCTTTTTTTTTTAATGAGAAGACTGGGATTTGAACCCAGAATGGTCGAAACCATCGCCTTTACAGGGCGATTGCAATACCAAAATGCTTTCTTCTCTTTATTACCTACTGAGGGACTTGAACCCTCACACACAAAGTGCAAACAATTTTAAGTCGTTTGAGTCTACCAATTTCTCCAAGTAGGTATAAAATTTTAGCCAGATACGGAATTTGAATCCATATAAGGTAATTTACAAGATTACTGCTTTACCAATTAAGCTAATCTGGCTATATTTTTATATATTTATATATAAAAAAATATAATAAAAAATATTTAATATAAAAAATAATTATATAAAAATGAATTATTATAAATATAAAGAAAAATTTATATTATAATATTCATTAAAAATATGATATAAAAATAAAAATAATAAAATAATATATAAATTTTTTGAAATAAAAAAGAATTTTTTCAAATATAAAGATGTTAATTATATAAATTATAATAAAAAATTCTTTTTTATAATATATAAATAATTATATATAACCTATTATAAAAATTTTTAATATTTTTAAATCATTAATTTATATATTAAATTTCATATAGAAAAAAAAATAATATATTTAAAAAGAATCTTAAATATATATATTATTAATATAAATAAATATAATATTAATAATATTATATTAAATTCAAGGTTGTATTAAAGATAATCTACTTAAATCTTTAAGTATATATCTAGGTAATATATAAACAGATAAAAAATAAGATAAAAATAATAAAATAAAATATCCAAAAGATATTTGATTAATAAAAGTAAATGGTATTAATTGAGGCATATTATAAAAATAATACTATATAATCTAAAAATATATTAAATATTTATAATCTCTTAAAATATAAAAATTTATATTAAAAGGAAAAATTATTATAATTAGAATAAAAAATTAATTATAATTAATGTAAAATTATTGAATCTTTTATATAAATAGAAGTTAAAACACATCATACATAAGCTTGTAAAATTGCTACTGCTATTTCTAATCCCATTAATAAAATTAAAAAAACAATAGGTATAATAGATAAAATAGCAAATATTATATTTATAGATATAATTTGTAAAGTTAAACCACTTATAACATTTAATAAAATATGACCAGAAGTTATATTAGCTCCTAATCTAATTCCTAAACTAAAAGCTCTAGCTATATATGATAATAATTCTATAGCTACTAATAAAGGTACTAATCCTAAAGGTGTACCTGAAGGTAATAATACTGAAAAATAAGTTAATTTATATTTACTAAATCCAATATATGTCATACCAATAATTAACATAATACTTAAACTTAATGTTAATGCAAAATGAGCAGTAGGAGAAAAACCGTAAGGTATTAATCCTACAAAATTTGTTATTAATATAAAATAAAATAAAGTTAATATTAATGGTAAATATATTTCATTTTCTTTTCCTATTTGAGCTCTTACTAAATCTAATATTGATTTATATATTGATTCTGTTAATATACTTATTTTATTACCTATTATATTTTCTTCTCTTATTGATATTTGTAATATTATATATATTAAAGTACCTGATATTATCATATATAATCCTGAATTTGTTATAGATAAAGTTAAAAATGGTGTATTAATAGATAAAAAATTATTTATAAAAAATTGTTCCAAAGGATTATAAAACATTATAAATAATTTTAAAATCTTAATAATTTAAATTGTTTATTAAAAATTTAAAGATCATTAAAATTATTTATAATTATATTTATATAATTTTATACATATTATATTAATTAAAAATTATTAATAATCAATTATATATTAATATTATTATTAATATTAATATATATTCATTTAAAATTTTATATTATTTGAAATATAATAAATTATATAATAAAATAATTTTATTATAGATTGAATGAATGAGTACGATCAATAGGTATGATATATTTGATCCTACAGATCTAATTTGGATTCTTCAATTTAACTAAGTATAAAGAAATAATTGGTTATAATACTATTAATAAATTTAATTAGTATTAAATATAAAATATAAGATATTATAATTTTTATATAAACATGTTTATATAAAAATTATTATATAAATTATATCATATTTACATTAGATATAAAAATAATGAATATATATTTTATTATTTTTAGTAATATAATATTATTAGTCTTTTTTTAATATCTTTTATTAATTCACATTTATGCTATTAAAAAAAATTTACTATTTTTTATAAAATTTTAAAATTAATTAATTTTAATTAAATATTATTAAATTTTATCTTAAATTAATTAAAAATATAATATATAAAAATAATTATATAAAAAATATGAGAGATCTACTTTTTTATAGCAGGTTCTGGACTCCAGATGTAAACTAGCTCCTGCGGAGCTTTTAAAATAAAAAAAAAAAATAAAAATAAAGATTATAATAATAATATTTACTGTTTATATAAATATAATTTTATATATAATAATATAATAAATATAATGTAACAGTAATATTTATTAGTTATATTTTATATAACAGACTGGTATTACGGTTATATTAGTTATACATCTCCAACTATAATACATAATATATTAGTAATTATATATATACCATTATATTCTGTTTTACCACTTAAAATTAAAGTTATTCTTTAATTTTATAATAATCTATATATGCTATAATTATAGTTATATTGGTATATATGTAATAGTATATGAGAATATTATATATAATAATATTATATATAATAAATTTAGTTAATGATAAAATAATATTAATTTAATTAAGAATATGTATTATATTAACTAATATATTTATACTGTATATCATTATACTAATATTTATTATTATATAGTAAAATGTA